CCAAAGACCCACAGTCCTGAGGGAGAGGAAGAAACCAACCACTTCTGTTTAGTTAGTTTGTGAAATACCTTGTCGTTTCACTTATTTTATACTACTACCCTCATTTTGTTTGCTTTCTCTACAATAATTTATTAATGAATCTGGCATGTTCCTTTTGTTCCCCTATGTGTATATATTATGGATTGTATTATGATGAATGTTTTTATTTTCTTTGTTATTTTCCATTGTGAGTTAGTAATAGTAATAGTGTTATCTTACTACTTTTTAAAAAGTACTATTTTCTTGTGTTTTGAGTGAAGGTTTACACAATAATTTAGATTCTCTCCCATTCAACAATTTCTACACAAATTGTTTGACGTTGATTACATTTATCACATTGCGAGAACATTTTTACTGTTTTTGTTTTGGTGGTTCCATTTCCACTGATCTAGTTTCCCTGCCCCCTTGCATTCTTATCTTAGATTTATCCAAGATGTTTTTAATGCCATAGCTTACATTAGAAATGTGCACAAATCATAAATTTACCTATCAGTATTTACCCAGCAAAAGCAACACTCCCCTAACAAACCATCCCCAGAACAACACCCATCCCAGTTATAACTCCTTTAAAGGTAACTATTACACTGTTTTCTAGTAACATATATTAAGGAGCTCTAGTAGCATAGTGGTTACGAATCAGGTTGCTAATCTCACGGTCAGCAGTTCGAAACTACCAGCTGTTCCATGGGAGAAAGATGAGGCTTTCTGCTCCTATAATCAGAAACCTTGTACAGGGTCGATATGAGTCAGAACCGACTCCATGGCATACAACAACAAAAAAAACAACTTTGCCTGTTTTTAATTTTATGTAAATGGAATCATACAGTACATACTTTTTTGCCTGGTTTCTTTCATTGAACATTTAAATAAATTATGAGATTCATACATGTTTCATGGAACATGTTTGTTCATTCTCTTGACTAGTATATCATTTTGTGAATATATTCAAATTCATTGATAGAGTTGGATTATTGTACAGACATTTTTTCTTTCTTTTTTTTAATTTAACATTTTATTGTGAGTTGAGTGAAGGTTTACAAAGCAGATCATGAGTTTTAGATTCAACAAATCATCAACTTAGTTTCATCTGAATGATCGCAGCTCCCTCCATATGACATCTCTGATCCTAACTCCTTCCAGTACCGTTTCCGTTCCGCCTTCTTTCCAAACATTCTGTACCTTGTCCAAACACTGCCCTTTGGATCTGAAATTTTCAACCATTCTATGGTGTATGTTCCTCACTAGCGTTGTCCCCTCTATATACCTCTCTGCTGTTTGGCTGAAAATTGAGCCATGGGAGTTAGTTCAGTTTCAGACCTAAGGGTGACTATAGGCCAGTAAGCCTGCTCTGTTTTATGATTTTGAGTTTTGTTCCACATTTTCTTCCATTCTATCCAGGACCTTCTAATGTGATCCCTTTCAAAGTAATTGGTAGTGGTAGCCAGGTCTCAGGATCAAGGACACTGGTGATCACGTGGTCCCTTAGTCCATTGGACTAATTGTTTCCAGGCATCTTCAGTTTTTCATCACACTTCTTTCCTCTGTTCTATCCAAGTGTCACTTTAGATGACTGTTCATGAGCTTTTTAAAGATCCCAGTCACTACTCACCAAAGTACGAAGTAGAACATTGTGTGTGTGGATTATGTTGTTATTGTGCAGACTTGTATATGTATCTTTTGTTGAACTATGTACGTATTTACGCCTAGCAGTATAACTACTGAGTCTCAGGGTAGGCATTTGTTCAGATTCAGTGATATCCAAGGGAATTGTACCAGTCACAGTTTTTAAAGATTGCAGTTCTATATCTCACCATACTTTTTAACTCTGGGTCTGGGTGACTGGGAGTTGTTTAGCTTTGATCTGAATTTCCCTGATGAATATTTAGCTTGAACCTCTTTCAGTATTGGTCATTTGGATACTGTTTCAGGTGTGTGAAGTGTCTGTTCAAGTACGCTACCAAGTTGTCCTGTAGGGGTTGTCTGCCATTTTCTTGCTGATTTGCAGTTCTTTATATACTCTGGGTGTGAGACTTTTATCAGACATGTTTATGGCATACCTTTTCTGACAGTTGTGGCTACTTTTTTTTTTTTTTTTACTTTCTTACTAGTATCTTGAAGAGAAACTTTACTTTTTCATACAGTTCAGTTTGTCAGATTTTTTTTCTTTATGATTAGTACTTTTATTTCCTGTGTAAGAAATGTTTGGTTAGCAGAGATTATTCTGTTTTTCTTTTAGAAGCTTCATTGTTTTACCTGTCACATTTAGATCTCCATCCACCTGGAATTCATTTTCTTGAATGATATAAGATAGGGGAGTGAAGATTCACACTACCACCACCCAACACATGTGAATGTCCAGTGCACACTATGTCTTTTGTTGAAAAAACCATCCTTGCCCAACTGCACTGTTTGTATTCTTTATTGTATTACAGTAATGGAGATATCCTTGTATTGATACTGATTTCATCGTCGTTAAGTGCCGTCAAGTCGGTTCCAACTCATAGAGACCCTG